TATATATATAATTGAATAACACAGTTGTTCGCAGTGTTTCTGGGTGGGCCCTAAAGAGTAGAGATTCTCTGCAAAATCATGTAGTTTTTCCACCAGGAAATTATGATTATTAAAAATTAAGTTGAAATAATATGGGCTGATGTCTTCAACAAAAGCATATACCAACCTTGTAGCTCACAGTAGGTCTGTCTTTAATGGTTTAAAAGTTACTTCTAAAAATCAATTCACCAGTGGAAAATATAAATGGAATTTTTGCTTTTGGAACCTGGTTGTTGCTTTCCATTAATGCCACAGTGCCTGACTGAAATGCATATTAGTTTGGCTTTAATATGCCTGTATGCCTCCACAGACCAAAGGATACATATATTGCCTATCTTCCTCTTGCTCATGTGCTGGAAATGACGGCTGAGATCTCGTGTGTGACGTACGGCTGCAGGATCGGCTATTCCTCACCACAAACACTGTCTGATCAGGTACTGCACCTCAATTTATTACTGGATCAGATAAATATAGTCACACATTTACACAGATTTATGAGGTTATTACAAAATAGGGAAATGATGTTAATCTCAGATGATTGAATGGCTTGTTTTTGCTTCGTAGTCAACCAAAATTAAGAAGGGAAGTAAAGGTGACTGCACCGTGCTGAAACCTTCTCTAATGGCCGCCGTACCTGTAAGTCAGACTCCTCGAAACATTTTCACCTGGTTTCATTCACATCAATCATGTTTAAATTTCACACTCCTGTTTCCTCTGTCAGGAAATAATGGACCGGATCAATAAGAACGTCATGAGTAAAGTGCAGGAAATGAACTGCGTGCAGAGAACCCTGTTCAAACGGGCCTACGACTACAAGCTCGAGCAGATCAAGAAGGGTTATGATGCGCCCCTGTGCAATATGTAAGATAAGATTAAAACAGGCCTTCAGTTAATCACATTTGCTCTTGCTAATGACTCTGGAGTTTTAATCGCCTTTGTTCCCTCATGTGTTCAGTTTGTTTAAGAAAGTCAGAGCTCTGCTGGGTGGAAACGTGCGGATGATGCTGTCCGGAGGGAGATCTCTCTGACCCTCCATAGACAGCAAAGCAACTGTAATGTTCCCAGACAGAAACATAGTAAGGACATCGGTAAAACAGTCATGAGGTTATTACAAAATAGGGAAATGATGTTAATCTCAGATGATTGAATGGCTTGTTTTTGCTTCGTAGTCAACCAAAATTAAGAAGGGAAGTAAAGGTGACTGCACCGTGCTGAAACCTTCTCTAATGGCCGCCGTACCTGTAAGTCAGACTCCTCGAAACATTTTCACCTGGTTTCATTCACATCAATCATGTTTAAATTTCACACTCCTGTTTCCTCTGTCAGGAAATAATGGACCGGATCAATAAGAACGTCATGAGTAAAGTGCAGGAAATGAACTGCGTGCAGAGAACCCTGTTCAAACGGGCCTACGACTACAAGCTCGAGCAGATCAAGAAGGGTTATGATGCGCCCCTGTGCAATATGTAAGAGGAGATTAAAATAGGTCTTCGGTTAATCACATTTGCTCTTGTTAATGAGTCTGGAGTTTTAATCGTCTTTGTTCCCTCATGTGTTCAGTTTGTTTAAGAAAGTCAGAGCTCTGCTGGGTGGAAACGTGCGGATGATGCTGTCCGGAGGAGCCCCTCTGTCTCCCGCCACTCAGCGCTTCATGAACATCTGCTTCTGCTGTCCTGTTGGTCAGGGTTACGGTCTTACTGAGACCTGTGGAGCGGGAACTATAACTGAGGGTGAGGAGTCCTGCTACATCTGGACATCTTTTCCAGTCTATCTTGCACTGTTTATTTTAATATTACTTGTACAGTCTTATTTTGAACGATCGTCAGAGCTTTATCTCATGTGCCGTAATGATCATATCATCTTATGTTGTGCAGTTGCTGACTATAGCACAGGACGAGTTGGAGCTCCTCTGATCTGCTGTGAGGTCAAACTCAAAGATTGGGCAGAAGGTTGGTAAATACTACCAGTTTTCTTTATTGTAGATACTTGTTCATATCTTAAATCTTAAAGAAGTAATCCACCAAACATCTCCAAAAAGGACAAAAATAAACGCTAAAGACATACACTATATACCAAGTTTACTAAAGTAATGCGAAAGCTTGTTTTGAGGAACAGTCTTTCTTCACCTTTGCCAATACTTACTTCAGCATTCCTGTAGCTCAAACAGTAGAGCACAAAATATCACAAAGGTCATGGGTTCAATTCCCAGAGAATGCAGGAACTTATACAGCTGTATTTTAATGCAAAAATAAGATTTTGATAAAAGCATCTGCATAATGCATGAATGTAAATGTAATCTGATGGCATCAGTGACACCAAAAGCATCATGTTTGGTGTCATGTGAGCTTCAGGGAAGCAGTGTTTGTATTTTTAACTAAAACTATTAAAAATAAAGCTAAGCTAAAATAAAATGCATTTAAGATGGAAAAACTTAACCTCCGTGAAGTTGGCACCCCATAAAAAGAAATAATCACCAAAACTATGCCAGTCGTTTGTGCTACGTTTGTGCTGATTTGTGCCGCAAAAACGAACGTTTGTGCTGGTTTGGTGTTTGAGATATTTTATTTTATTTTTCATTTTGTTATTAGACATTAAAGACATAACATGCAACATTTACAACTTTTAACAAGACATCCAAAAAGATAACACAATTAAAGGAATGGGGGTGTTTGAGATATTAAACATAATTTTTTTTGACCATGTGATGTCACTCTTCACCCCATGTTGCTCAAATCGCTCCAAACCAGCGCAGTTCCTTTGTGCTCGATTTGTGCTGGTTTGTGCCGTTAAAAGAAACCCTGTAACTATGACCGCTTCTTTTATATAATAAAAATAAACTTTTTACGAACAGTGACGTCACTCTCCACCCCATGCAATCGAAATCGTTTAAAAATGGTGCCATTCGTTTGTGCTCGATTTGTGACATTCAAATTTACATTATCTATTTCCCGTCCTCAGAAATAACGAATACAAAACGTGCCAATGACGTCACTCTCCACCCCATGCTGGCCAAATCCCTCCAAACCGGTGCCGTTCGTTTGTGCTCGATTTGTGCTGGTTTGTGCCGTTAAAAGAAACAATGTAACCATGACCTCTTCTTAAATATAACGGGAACTTTACTCTCCACTCCGTTTAGTGTGGCCGCAGAGTTTAAAAAATAAAAAAAATAAAAATTAGTGTTCGTGCTGCCTTAAAATTTTAAGTTTAGTCAGGTACAAGTTTTCACTAACTTCATATTTCAAGTTGACTAAGCTTAAATTTCAAGGCAGCATTAAGTTGAAACGGTGAGACCGTTTTTTTTTTTTAATTATTATTATTGTTACTGCGAGTGTAAATCGTTCTAATTCATTTGTGCTCGATTTGTGCCGTTAGAATACTGAACATATTCCCCCAGGAATAACAAATATATGCTAATTCAGGGAGCTCTCCGTCCATGCCAACGGCTCCGTTCGTTTGTGCTATAGATGCCGTTAAAATGAACGTTCTATTTTTATTTCTCCTCCGTAAAACATTTCAAATATCTGGAGGAAAAGTGATGGCACTCAAGCCGCTCGTCCAAATTCCTGTCTTCTATAGTTTGCAAATCTGCTGGTTTACAAGGTTTTTCTAAGTTTTATTGCCAGTGACGTCACCAACTCCAAAATTTTCATTTTCTTGGAACAGGCTATTGCAACTTAATATCACATATTCGTGTTCTTGTTTGTTGCTATTTGTATTCATTTGTTACAAAAATGCAACATAGGACTAAATTACTGGTTTATATTCAAGTAACAAATATCACTGATACATAAATGCAATAATTTATACCAAGGTATAGCCTACCAACAAAAATATTTTTATCCGTTAAAGCAGGCTCTTTAATGTAACGGTTACTTTGTATATTTTAATATAGCTAGCAAGTAGCCTGACTTACCATCGACATCAGCTGTTTTCTCACTTAGTAGCCTATTGTGTATTATTATTATTATTTAAATGTGTATTGCATTGTGCATTTTGCAGTTGAAATATTCGGAGCATAAACATTACCATGATATTGCTCAGCTGTTTTTTCTCTTTGAGGAATAGGCTATGCGTGAAGGACAGCCAGCCAAGGTGTGTTTGTTTAAAATATCTTTGAATTAAATAAAATGAAATGTCTACATAGACTTGCATATCATAATTGAATGTGTTAAAAATTGCATACCACACGCTCATGTGAGTTTTTGATTGCAAAATATTCATAAAAAAAGTTTTACCTCGTTGATATGTAGCTACATTATCCGTTTTTTGTGGTCTTTTTTTTTTCACACATTAAGTATTGATTAAGGCTATTTTATCTTTGAGCACTTTTACTACAGTCCATTATGTCCTTTTTGTTTTCTTATGCAGGGCGATAAATAATCGTTTGTAAGGGGGACAGAAAAAACTTTAACATAATATTATAATATAATAATATTAGCTGTTAAATGCAGTAATACCATGCAATTACAGTTACATATAGCCCATAGATAATGGCTTATTAAGTGCTTCTGTTTTCCCCCCTTTTAAATAGGCCTATTTAAGAAGAATTATAGTTACAACCAGGATTTCTTTTCACGGCACAAATCGAGCACAAATAAACGCGGCATTTGGTGTGGAGACCGCCTGGAATTAGGCTATTTATATGACCTAATTAATATTAATATTAACGAATATTCGTGGGGAATAGGCCTAGATGTTTAACATTCTAACGGCACAAATCGAGCACAAATTAATTAGAACGATTTAGACTCACTGTAAAAAAAAAAAAACACGGTCTCACCGTTTCAACTTAATGCTGCCTTGAAATCTAAGCTTAGTCAACTTGAAATATGAAGTTAGTGAAAACTTGGACCTAACTAAACTTGAAATTTTAAGGCAGCATAAACACTATTTATTTTTTAAACTCTGCGGCCACGCTAAACGGAGTGGAGAGTAAAGTTCCCGTTATATTTAAGAAGAGGTCATGGTTACATTGTTTCTTTTAACGGCACAAATCAGCACAAATCAAGCACAAACGAACGGCACCGGTTTGGAGGGATTTAGATTGCATGGGGTGGAGAGTGACGTCACAGCCCAGAATTATTTTTATTTCTATGAAGGGGAAATATATTTGATGTTCATTTTAACAGCACAAACCGGCACAAATCGAGCACAAACGAATGACACCAGTAGACGAACTGGGGTGGAGAGTGACGTTACAGCTCCCGAAAATATTTTGGTTATATCTAAGGAAGGAAAATAGATACAGTGTTTGTTTTAACGGCACAAACCCAGCACAAACAAACTGCGCCGATTTGGAGCTATTTGGGCAACATGTGGTGGAAAGTGACGTCACACGGTCAAAAAAATATTGTTTAAACGGGCACAAATAGAGCACAAATGAACAAATGTACGTTTTTGCGGCACAAATCAGCACAAACGTAGCACAAACGACTGGCATAGTTTTGGTGATTATTAAAATGCATTGCATATAAAATGCATTGCACACATATGAATATTTAGTTTGAACTGTTCTGGAACAGTGTTGTAAATACAACTTAACCACTGATTTCTAGTTGTGTCCTCTTTTGGAAGGCCAAACAAAGTAGTTTCGCTTTCACAAGGAAACACACAGCGTCTCCACGATATGGCAGCGGCAACAACTACAGCGAGAATCAAAGTTACGCCTTCTTTCTTTGCGTGAACATTTGGGCGGTGTTGTGCAAATCTTCCCACATCGTAACGTAGACATGTGGGAGCATGTTTAAACGAGGCGTTTTAGGAGGACGTGGATGAGTCTTAACTTTTATAAAGAATATCTCTTTGGGTTTGAGACGCAACTTCAGGGATCTTATCTATTCACGAACAGCTTGTAACACTCCAAAGAGAAAGGAAACCTTGAAATCGCATCATATGACCCCTTTAACCTGAAAAAATTCAAACAGTTACAGCTGTCGTGATTCTTATACATCAGGTGGCTATACGAAGCATGACAAGCCTCATCCACGTGGTGAGATCCTCATCGGCGGTCCTAATGTGACCATGGGCTACTCCCGGAGTGAAGGCTGTAATAATGAGGACTTTTTTGCGGATGAGAACGGCCAGCGGTGGTTCTGCACTGGTGATATAGGAGAGATGCACCCTGACGGCTGTCTTCAGATTGTCGGTATGTTTAGATTCAGCGTCATGATGATGTCTTCTTTCTTGTTTTAGTTAAAATCATGTATTTGTTATCTATCTGTATTATTCACATCTATTGTATGTAATGCCTAGATCGCAAGAAGGACCTTGTGAAACTTCAAGCTGGGGAGTATGTCTCTTTAGGCAAAGTCGAGTCAGCTCTGAAGAACTGCTCTCTCATTGACAACATCTGCGCTTACGCAAACAGGTTCGTATGCTCGGCTTTGTCTGACACATATGGGATGTTACTGACCCTAGCAAAGGGTCCTCTCTTTAGAACAGCAGACGTACTGTATACAGACCTCTTTTCTCTCTCTCTCTGCCCACCAGTGACCAGAACTATGTTATCAGCTTCATTGTTCCTAATCAAAAGAACCTGACAGCTCTTGCCAATCAGAAGGGCATTGAGGGCACATGGGAAGAGATTTGCAACCACCCAGTTATGGAAAGGGAAGTTCTGAGAGAAATTAAAGAAGTCGCAACTTCAAGTGAGTATAACCTAACAGTATTTATAGCAGCGAGGTAGGGGTGTGCGATATATATCATCTGTTGTTTTAACGATGTGCGATTTGACATTATCGAGTATTTTGCAAAAAACATTCAAAACACCCCTACAGAGCGCACGCATACATTACGTGAAGTCTAGATTAGTGCGCGTGTGCATTTAGAGTGCGTTCTTTCACTGCATGATTCAGTCTATTAACACGTTTAGAATGATCACAAAGGATCACAAATTCAAGACATAGGGGCAGAAAATTTATATATATATACCACTTCATATAGTTAATCAATTTCAAACGAAGAGTGCCGTTTTTTCTCCAAAAATTACCACGATTACTAATTTTTTACAACAGTTCAATAAACAAGAAGTTAAGTAAGAGACTTACGTTTTAGACACCATATTTCCTGTTTATGTGGTATTTTGACAACAAAAAATAATTCCAAACCCTGAGTCCCTGAGCAACATGACGGTGTTTCGTTCCTGAATGAATCAACCGTTTAAATGATTGTTAAATCGCAATGGCTCACTTATTAACAGTGACTTGCTGCCACCTGCTGGCAGTTTTAATTTCACATTTAAAGTATCTTTTTATTATTTATATTATTTCAAATATCAGTATTCAACGTTTTATGTTTAATATATCAAAACATTATTTATCCATTTGTAATTGCATGTTAAATGCATTCATGTCCTGCATTAAACAGTGTGTAAATTCATCAAATGCCACTTCAGATGCAGTTTCTGTGTTTCCTCTGCATTGCAAAGATGAATTTAGTTGATACTGATTTCATAATTCACTCATTAAATGTAAGAATTTGACTCAAAGGATAATGGACACTTTTAGAAAAAAAAAGCTTAATAAAGGTAAAAATGCCCATAAAATGTAAAAATCAGTTTAAACTTATTGGAAAAGATTAATTTCTATCAGTATGAACTGATCACCACACAGAATATGAAGAATATGAAAAGCTTTAGGAGTCAGCTGTCCACGGCAGTCCTTAAGATACCAGCACAATAACACTCAGCAAAATATCGTCTAATTATCGTTATAAAATCCCAGAAAATATCGAGATATAATTTTTTGTCAATATCACACACCCCTACAGCGAGGTATGTGGTGTAAAAGTGCGGACACAAAATGTGGACACCGTAACAAGAAATTCACTGATCTAATTAAGACAAGACCCCTGAAGGCCTGTTTAATTTGAATTTTTGGCAAGAAAAACATGCACAAGATTATTATTTTTTTTATCCATTTTATTTTATTTTTATATTATTACAAAATATATATTTAGAGACCATGATACAAATAAAAAGCTTGCAGAACTTTGTGCACACTTGACACTGACTTCACGCAACTTCAGCATACACTACCATATAAAAGTTGAATTCAGAAAGATATATATATATATATTTTTAAAGAAATTAATACTTTTATTCAGTAAGGACCATTAAAATGATCAAAAGTAACAGTAAAGACATTTATAATGTTACAAACTGTGTTATTTTAGTATCATTAAGATTATAGTATCACTTCAGTTTTTATTAATATTGTATTCGTTTTTTATTTTGAATTATTTACTTAAATTTCTGTTTTATTAAGCAGTTCCATTTTCCATTTTGAATTTTATTCATGTATTCGTTATTTTAGTACACTAATTTAAACTAAATGAAAATTAGAATTATTAGCTGAAATAAAATCTATATTTTTTATAATAAAAATATTAAGCAGCACAACCGTTTTCAACATTGTTAAAAATAAATGTTTCATTAGCAGCAAATCAGCATATAAGAATGATTTCTGAAAGATCACATGACACTGAAGACTGGAGTAATGATGCTGAAAATTCGGCTGTGCATCACAGAATTGTTACATAATATATTCAAATAGAAAACAGTTCTTTTTACATTGTAATATTTCACAGTATTACTGTTTTACTGTATTTTTGATCAAATACATGCAGCATTGGTGCGCATAAGAGATTTTTAAAAACCTTTGAGTAGTGGAGTTGTATAAAATGTTGTGGACTCAGAGCATGTCTTCTAATGGTCTTTCCATCATTGTAGTTAAACTCCAGCGCTTTGAGATACCAGTTATGGTCCATCTGAGCCCAGAGCCTTGGACCCCAGAAACGGGCCTGGTGACGGACGCATTCAAACTGAAGAGGAAAGAACTGAAGAACCACTATCTCAACGACATCGAAAGAATGTATGGCCACAAGTAGGACGTCTATCACAGCCAAAGACATCTTCATCAGCTCCTTGCCGTACAACATTGCTGTATATCAATAAATGTTAAACACCTTTTGCCACAACTGTCACCACTGCCCATTGCTTAGTGATGCGCGCACATTTTCAAAGACGAACCATGTTGATAAGCCGTTGGTCTGTGTATTTTTATTCCTGAGCTTTTCATTCAGAGCTCTGTAGTCTCTCTGCTGTGAAATAGTTTACAATTAGACCTGTTGAGTAAAGGACGATATTTATCTTATCCAGCATAAAGCATTCACTAATTTCTCCTTTTTGTATACAAAAAGAGTCTCTTATGAAAAGGATTTCATCCATACAACAGCGATATACTGCCATCACCTTGTGCTTTCTTTTTTCGAACGTGTGAAATTCTATTGTTTGTAAAAATGTTCATTTGTTTGATTTAATAGAATTTGGAAAACACAAACTGCTAGCTGAGGTGAAGTCTTTGCACAGCGGAACTCCGCCTCCTTGTAGACGCAAGTAATGTATAGTGATGTTTCTGTGCCTTCTGATTGGTTACTATTTTAAACGTTGATTCCCTATTGGCTGCAAATTAGAATTTCATTCCTGTGCTTCATTCATGCAGCGCACTAAGAGTTAGTCTTCATAATGGTTACAAACCATGTTTTTTATATACGGTACTTGAGATTTCTTTTTGTTTTGGTTATGAAAATGTATGTAATGTTTTGAATACTAATTGACGCATTTACTAGTGCTCATGGATTGACTCAGGACAGGTTGAGATGACTGGCAAGTAGTTTATTGCTCATTTGACCTGTTTGGTAGACTGAACTTAAATGAAGGGAAAAAATTTTTAGGAATAGTTTTTCCCTCAAGCCAGAGGTAAAGTTTGTATTATATCTGTGTATCATCTTTTCACGTCAGATTTTTTTCAAACCATTTTACTGTTAACAGTGTCTCGCTTGTCTGTCGCAAATTCCACTTCTGCAGGCTTTTAATATATTTGGTAATATGTCATTAAACCAGTCCTCAATACTTAATGTATAAAGCTGAAAAGGAACAAACCCAAGAATATGAATTTTGAGGTTGAGGAACCCTTGTCAGTCAGTTAATATTGTATTCTGTATTTTAATTTATTTGGTCAAACCTAGACATTTCATTTGAATCCTTGTTTGTTTTTTTGTTTTTTTTTTAAGTGTGGTCTGTACAGGCACTGTAAATTGTTAGCTCTTGGGTTACCGAATGTCTCATTCTAGAACGTGTTTTATTTAGAATTATTTTGTCAGTTGCACTATTTTTGTCAGGGATTTTTAGCCATTAAGCCAACAGATTCATCCGTTTTTTTTCCCCCACACAACCATCAGGGTTCAAGTCACCACAGTCTAGACTATACAGCAGTCAAATGTTTGCATTGATAAATTGTGAATTCGCTTGTAGAATGTTCTATGATGCTTATTTATTGTGGTTCACTGTATGTTATATTTGGTCAATTAAAATCATTTTCTACTCAAATTGCGTGGTACTCCATAGTAGACACAGTTTAATGGTCAATGGGTTTTATTTACAGAACGTATTAAATTGCAACGAGTTTACAAAAATGAAAAAAAGCTATACAAAAGATTTGAAGCTGCGATTCAGTTTGCCCAGTCTTGAAAGCGAAAGCAGTCGCTTGCAATCTTCCATACGGGCTGGTCGCTGTTAGGAGAGGCTTGGGCAGTTAATAAGAAATTCTGGTTGAAGAATCTCTGCTTGTTTCCATCAAATTTCACTGAGCCAGCTGTAACCACCAACAACGTCATTTGGCCTTGAGTTGCTTGTTCTGAAAAGAAAAATGGTATTTGATAAAACAACAGGGAAATATATGAATAATTAAAATATGATGAGCAGGTTGTTGCATACCGTGCACAGGCTGGCAGTCAAGAGATTGCGCTTGAAATTCACTGGAAGGAAGAGACTCGAAGAACTCGCTGAGAGCATCATGACCTGTGACTGCATTTCCATTCCACACTAGCGTAGCTTTGTCCAGATACAGCCTCGTCAAATTCTGAAAACATTGATTCATTATCATGAAGTCGTTCAATGCATTGTTAATTAGCATAACAGATCAGGACACACGCTATTAGAAGTGCAGTTCAAATCCCAAGCATGAGATGAGCATACCCGTCTTCTCTTGTCCATACAGTCATAATAGATATTGACGAATTCGTCCGAGTATCTGCATGACTGATCAACCAGAGTCCTGAAGTCCTGATCAGTACCGAACACAATTGATCAGCACAGTTATGGAACATATTTGCATTTAGATGCATGTTGGCATCAATGAACACTCACCACCGTTGAAGACATGAAGTCACTGTTTGTGCTGTTCAGTCGTTGTGAGAATTTGATATCCAAACTACTATTAAAACATAAAACAAGCAGAGCGATTTAAAATGTAGGTAACGTTACGCGCCAGATGAAAAAAGCTGCGCAGCGTAAAATTACAGTGATAAGAAAATAACTTGTAATCGTAGTTTATGCCCACAATGAAAAGGATGATATTGCGTGTAAAACAATATCAGAATTATGCTCTCTTACTCTTATATATAACGTTATATACAAACATTCTACATCGAGAAAAATGTGCTCAAATGTGTGTGTTCACGATTATTGTTCCGCCGGAAAACTACACCGTCATTAAGTTCCCAACTACAGGAAGAAATAAAATACAAAGATGACAAAAGGCAAAGCAAAGTACAAAACTAATTAAAATACATACTTCAAACGCACAAATATTAGAAATCTTATTGTTGTTGTTTTAATTTAGTCCACTGTTATGATTTTCCTCAGCTTAACAATAGAGTTACATTTTCTGTTAGTAAGTTTACATATGCATATGTAAATCTGTAAATTATAATACGATTAATTAATAAAACATGTTTGAACATCTATCTTACGATCATTTTTGAAGCCAAAATAGTACTTTTTTTTTTTCAAAACAGTAATACGACTGTTTGAAAATGTTTTCATAGCTTTTTCATTCTTTGTATTAAAGCCAAAATAAATGTAAAGTAATTTGAGGGTTTATATATATATATATATATATATATATATATATATATATACATATATTTTTTTATA